GGCCCCCCTCGCCGAAGCTCCTCCTCGCTCCCCCCACCGATTGAACCGCCTGCTTCGCCCTCCGCTGCACCGAAGCCGCTCGACTTCCAGTCTTGCCTCTCCTCTCTGCGTCGAGACCGCTCGACCCCACTCCCGCTCGCCTTTGCCTGTTTCGACCGAAGCCCCGCTCGGCTCAGCTCGTCTCATATTCACTGCGCCGAAGCTCAGTTCCTCGACAAATTCGTCCTTCTTGTTCTCGACAAATCCCGCTCTCCTTCTCCCCTCTCGGCACCAGGACCTATTTCGCCTTTCCCGCTCGGCTGGTCACAACTTCATTGCGCTGAAGACCCCCTTCCGCTCAGTCCTTTCGCTCGATCAAAACTCCAGTTGCCCGCTTCTTCCTCTTTCGATCGTCCAAGCTGCAGGACTCCGAGGACTGTTTCTCTTGGTGAACTAACGGTTTTCATTTCTAAACATCTCAAAACAGGTTTCAATGATTTATCTTGCTTCTTTTATTCCCTCAACATTGCTAATCGGTTTTTATTATTCATGATGGCTATTCTAAGAGGCTAATAATTAGCTCAAAATGTCCATTCACTTTGTGATTATTGGCATGCGATAAGTAATTTCACATCCCGTAAACGTATTCATATTTAATGAATTGGACCCACTGTTCAATGTAAGGAATTTTTGAAAACTGCAATGGGATGTTCATGTGGTACTTGGGTATTGAAATCTTTCCCAAGTAAATTTGTTCTCTCCTGATCTTGATAGACTTCTGTTAAATTTAATCGTGAAATATTTTCCTTCACGTTCAAAATTTAAGTTGCATGCTCTAATGCCATTGCTGAAAGCTTGTGTGAACTTATCTCTGATCTATATGGAACATTCTTATTTGATGGAGAAGGGAGTTTTATTTTAATTGAAGCTGAGGAATTTATTGATGAATATGTTTATGAAGTTTACAGATATCAAATTAGTTCCTGACTTGTTTAATGAAATGCATTATTTTTTTACAATACACATAAACTTCAGATTTTGTAGGTCTACTTACTGAATTGAAAGTTTTAGAATGACATGGATGTTGTTTCGAGCCTTATAAACTTGCGGTTTTGGAAGAATAAAATGCTGCTTTGGCCATACATGCTTGCTAATTCTGGAAAATTATAAACACTATTTTGATTATACGTTATTGCTGATTTTAAATGCTTAGCTGTTCGTTTTATATTTCAAGCACCTAAATGCAAATATTGTGAGGTTCCAATGATTATTTACTTGCTGATTTTAAATGCTCCGTTGTTGGTTTTATATTTCAAGCACTTCAATGCAAACATTGTGAGGTTCCAATGACCATTTACTTATCGATCTTAAATACTCATTTGCTAATTTCGTACTTCGAGCACTCAAACGGGAATACTACGAGGCTCAAGATGA